TACATAAAATGCTACCTGCTCACCCCAGGCCTCCAAATCCCTAATCCTGTTACAACAAGACTTTTCTTTTTTCCATATTGACTTCCAATACACTAAGCAACTTACTCATTTAATTTATTTTTAATGTTCTAGTCTTTTATTTTTCTTTTTTTCAGCAGTACTGGAGTTTGAACTAAGGGCCTTGCACTTGCTAGGCAGGTGCTCTACCACTTGAACCACATCCTAACTCTTTTTGCTTTAGTTTTTTTGGGGATAGAATCTTGCTTTTTGCCCAGGCTGGCCTAAACCTCAATCCTCCTATTTAGCCTCCCACATAGCTGGGATGACAGGTGCGTGCCCACCACCCACACTTTATTGGTTGTGATGGATGGGTTCTTGAGAAGTTTTTGCCTGGGCTGGCCTTGAACAGTGATCCTCTCAGTCTCTGCCCCTTGAATAGCTAGGATTACAGGCATGGGCCACCATACCCAGCTACGTTTTATATACTTCTCTAAGTGGTATCCCTGTTGGAATGAACGCTCTCACTGGGGTGGGACTTTGGCCTGATCTGACCACTGATGTGCCTCAAGTGCCAGCATAGCCCCAGCACCCAGCAGTTGCTTTACCCACATTTGCTGAATACCTGGGTAGGTTTCTGGGTAGTATGATGGGCTGAGTAGCTCTGAGGGGGTTGTGTGTGAATGTGTCTGTGAGTGTGATTGTCAAGGCTGCAGTTTTGGGAACTGTAGTTTCAGGGTGACTGATGGGAAGCTGGCTGGGTTGCTCCCAAACTCTGTCCCCTGAGGCTGAGGGGTGATCGTCAGATGGAGGTTTCAGGTTCTGTGTGTCCTGCCTGGACACGATCAGGGTTTGCACACACACTCCTCCAGATGGCTTTCCTGGGGTTCTCTTGGAATCTTTTCCTCCATTGGATTTTCTGTGGTGGCCACAGGACTGAGCTGCAGTGCCAGGCTCTTTCTTCTCCCCCACAGGCAGATCTGTGCCCCAGGCTTAGGGCGTCCCTTCAACATGGGGCCCAGTCATAGCACCGATCCAGGAGAATAAGGAGGGTGTGGTTGGTGCTGCGAAGTGTCCATACGGGACACTGGATTCAGAATGTGCATGTGACTGGGAAGAGGGGCTTTGGGGGGCCACTTTGTGGGCAGGACCCTGGCCACTGGGTTTCAGGAGGCAGTGTTCAGTGTAGAGGTATCAGAGTCTGACAGCAGGTGGCTGAGCCCTGACAAAGAGTTGGGGAAGAGGGTCCAACTGGCCTTGTGCTTGGCTGTCGGGGAGTCAGGGCCCAGCATTGGGGAACCTAGGATGCCAGGGCAAAGATTGGCTTCTGGCCCCAAGATGAAGAACCCTGATCTTGTCTCCAGGGAGTGATGGGGTTCCAAGGTCCATTGCCTTTCTACCTGAGTGTGGTAGGTACAGAGATTCTGAGAACAGGGATGGGGAGTGGCTGCCCTGTGGGTGACAGTCCCAGGACCCAGGAGATGCTCAACTCAGTGGAGCTTTGGGCCAGGATCGCAAAGACAAACAGCAGGGCCAGAGGCTGAGTCCTTCCCCACCTCTCCCCAGGCCAACATTTAGGTTACATCCAATGTGGTGAGGACAGTGTTCAGGATCAAATGCTATGTGCCCTGCTTTCACAGTGACCAGCTGTGTGACTTTGGAAGGTCACACTGAACCTCAGTTCAGTAGCCTCAGGTAACCTCAGTTACCTTGTTCTCATGGTAGGATTGGATCGATCAAACTGTCATTACTACCATTATTACTTTTATGTAAAAAAAGCTGCCTAGGTCTAGGAAGGGAGGACAGGTTGACAAGAATTCAAATAAAAAAGACCCAGTGCTTGGGTGAATCGCCAGTCAGTGTGAGAGTCTGGCATGGATAGTGAAGTTTGTGACATTTGGAACAGAAGACAGTGGTCCTGGGGCCAGCCTGGCTTCACCATGACCTGGCAGACCTTCAGGTTCTCAGTGGCTTGTGACTGTTAGGCGAAGAAAATGAACCAGGTGGGCTGGAAGTGAAGCTTTTATTTATTATGCACGAGCTGGGTACTTCACACACAGTCTTATTTAATCTGTACACGCTTTGTGCCCTAGATGTGACAGTCTACATCATGGGGCAGTTTTGTGGGTGAGGAATGGAGTCTCTGGGAAATTAAGTGACCTGATCAAGACTGGGGTTGTGGGATTCAAACCTGGCTCTGTCTCCCCATTCTGCCATATCTCATGAGCTCTGAAGACATTGGATAGAGTGTCTCATGACTCTTGAGAACCTGAGGCTGTGAGGGTGCAGAGGTGGCTGCCAGCTGGCTGAATGACAGCCACAGACTTCACACGTGGTAGAACCAGGTTGGTCAGCAGGAGGTCTGCAGAGACTGCCTCAGGGAGCTCTGCCTTCGACCTGTTCTCACCAGTCTATGCCAAGGACCCAGAAGACACACTGAAGCAGGCCTATAATGGGAGAAGGTGGCAGCAAGTTCTAAGGGACAAAGAAGAGTTCAGCCAGCAAAGTCAGCATCTAGAAAGATGTCAACAGGCTTGGGGGGTGGGTGGGAAAAGTGAATTGAGCATGATGAAGTATCACAGAAATAAATCCTGACTCTAGGAGGAAGTCGTACAGAGAGAGTAGCAGCTTGTGAGAGAGGTTTAGGAGCTCATGTGTGTGAATCAGTAGGTTACATTAATAGAGGTATGGAGTTTGAGGTAGGGAGAGGACCATCATCCTACCTCATTCAGCTCTCTGCCCTGGGTCAGGTTCTCTTGCACACATTTGAAAGTCAGGCGCTATTTTCTATTTTCATAGTTCCTTCTTGTTCTTTTTGGGTTCTTATGGGAAGCAGAATCCGTCTGAAGTTAGATCTTTGGATTCCATCCAGAGCAGCAACCTCTAATGACATTTATTTATTTATTTATGATACCATAGTTTGAATGGGCCTTGGCATTCTACAGCTTCAGCCATGCTCCCAGACTGTTTTTTTTTTTTGGGGGGGGTTTAGTTAATTTTCAGGTATGGCCTCACATTTATCTCCCTTACCCCCACCCCCAGGGCCAGCCTTGGACCTTGATCTTTCTACCTGTGATCTTCAGTAGAGCTGAGATTATAGGTATGTGCCGCCATGCCTGGCTTCTTCTCATAGTACTGGAGTTCATGCTCAGGGCCTTGCGTTTGTTGTGCAGGCACTCTACCAGTTGAGCCATGCCACCAGCAATGCCCGACTTCACGGTTGAGATGAAGGTCTCACTAACTTTTTGTGTGGTCTGGCCTCAGGCCCCAACCTTCTCAATTTCCAAATGCAGCGTAGCTGGGATGACAGGTATGAGCCTGTCTGTCCAGCCAAAATGACACCTTTAAAGGCGGAAAAGATGTTGCAGTTTTTTGGAGCTTTTGTTTGAGCGGCAAGTCTTGGGTTTGATCTTTAGGTCTCACCACCCTCATTCAAGGAGAGGAAAGTGCTGGCATTGGTGGGGTCCTGGCCCCTTGGGCTACTGGCCAGGAGTGTCTACCTCCTTTCCAACTGTCCCCTTTCCTGCTCAGAGGCTGATCCTGGTGGTCAGTGCTGGCCAGGCTGGCTCTGCTCTGCTGAAGGAGGCTGGGAGGGAGTAGGGAGCTTTGCTCATGTGTGGGTTGCATCTCCACTTGAGCGGGTGTCACCTGCCAAGCTGCATCGGGCACAGGAAGCGCCTGGCTGGGAGGCGCGCGGTTGAATTTGGAGACTCTGCTCTACTCCAAAATGCACTTCTTCTGGCAGCTGCACCGGAGTGAAGCTGCGGAGCTTCCCTCTCTCCTGCCAGGATCACAGCCACTTTTTCCTGAGAAAGAAACAGGGCTGCAGACAGTTTTACTCATTAAATACTTCTTTTCCTCTTAAATCTGTTTTCGTGATTTTTTTTCTCAGGAACGGAAAAGTAAAACGGATGATATTGAAATAAACAAGGCATTTGTGAGAGGAAGGTTAAAGCAGATTGTTGGGGGTGGGGAAGGAGGTTGGAAACGCCCATGTTTCTGCACACAGGCTGCTCATAGCCTGTTGAGGATGGAGGGAGGGAAAGGGTGGTGAGTTGGCCCACCTCCCAGCCCCAGGAGCCTATTTCTCCAAGTGTCTTGGGGTTCACTGAGAAAGGCAGAGGGGAACGGTGCTGTCATTTATGAAGAGCCTACTAAGTGCTATGTCTCTACTATGGGTAATCTCAGCCAGTACTTGTAAGAGCCCTGGAGGAGGGCCTACTCTTCAGACTAGGAAAGTCAAGGCTCAGATGAGCTAAGCTTCAGTCATCAGGGATCTTACAGAGCTGGGCTTTGAACCTCCAGCTGCTGACCTCACTTGGATGCTGTGCTTTTTTGGCTCTACTTTGTGACCCAGAACCGTTAGATTTGGAGCTGGGGGGATAAGGAGAAGGAAAGAGGAGATAACAAGACACTGGTGTTGAAGAGGGCTTCATGCTGCTGAGACTGAATGTGAGTTGAGACTTGGACACATATGAGTGAGTCAAGCCCTGGGTGCTGGGATCTTTCTGACAGGACTGATTTGGGGAACGGTGCATGGCATGGAGGGAGTGGGTGGACTTGGCTTGATAACCAAGATTAGCTTCCTGGAGGTGGAGGGCCTTGGAAGTGGAAGGGAATGATCTTATTAGCAGCACAGTAGAAGTGGGGAGGAGTAGGTCTGGTTTGGAGGAGAGTAGGAAGGGAGTGGGTCTGGCATGGGAGAATCAGCTTGGAGAGTACAAGGCAAAAAAAGAGCCCTGGGCTAGAAGGCAAGTGTGTGGTTCTTGTCCTGGCCTTGCCATTGACTTGCTATGTGAACTTGGGCAAATTCCTGTCCTCTGGGCCTCAGATTTTCCATCTATAAAATGGTGGAATTGGACTGCAGGATCCCATGAAGAAAGAAGGCGACTAAAGTCCAGAGGTACTTGACTATCAAGACTTAGCAGTAAACTTGTGAAATGTCAGGACTAACAGAGCCCCTAGGAATCATCTATCTAAGCTCTCTTATTTACATCTTAAAGGATGAACTGGAGTCATTGAGGCAAAGGAAATGGAGACACAGAGACGGGAGAGAGGAAAGGGCATCCCAGGGAGGAGGCTCAGTGTGTGCGACAGCATGGATGGAGGCAAGAGGTAGGTGTGTGGGGAATACTGGGGGCAGGTGCTGTTGAAAAGTAGATAGGCATGAGGGGAGCAAGAGGTGTGTGATCAGGAAAACAGGGCCAGGTTCAGAGGATCAAGGGGCTTTGATTCCATCTTTTAGGCAATGGTCCCCACTGAAAGGGTGGGAGTGACACTCGGTGATTCGACAGGGGCTGGGTGTGGGTAAAGCCACTCACTGGGTGTAGTTAGCTCAGCTCACACTGGTGAGAGAGAAAAAGATGGTGACTGTCTGAGTGGGGTGTGTGTGTGTGTGGGGACAGATGTCAGCACCTGCTCACCAGGAATAGGATGTGGAATGGATAACATGTGTTGGTTGATGGGAGGTGGGGAGCAAGAGGAAGAGAGTCAAGAACTTGCACGTTTCTGGCAGGAAACACGGGGGGAGAGAGCAATGTGTTGGGGAAAATGATGAGCTCAGTTGTAGATTTGTGAGTTTGCATCACCAGGGGGATATTATGTAGGGTGCAGCACTTCCTCACAAGCATTTACTACTTGACAGGTGGGGCTGGATGCTGCTTTCGTGTAGCTGTCAGCCTAGAGGGGTGTTCAGACATTCTTCTGTCCTTTGGTGTCTCACAGGAGACCCCACTTCAGAGATGAGAAGTCAGTGACTGTGTCTCCCGGCATGGCATCCTGTGTGCCTCAGGGGACATGGAGCTAGAAGTGAACGTGGGTGTTAGAAAATTGTGAAGAAGTGGATTTCATCCAGAATGCCTTTTTGGGTGATCTTGTGTGCTAAGTGGGTTAATACAACCTCTCTTCCAGGCCGTGGTGTGCTAGAGGGGGTCTAATGGCTCATAGAACTGGGTGAGAGTGTCGCTTCCAAACAATGTTCTGTGACATCCCCTTGGTAGTTTGAAACTGAATGGCATGGGAGTATTTACACCATGGCAATTGGCAAATGCTACAAATTGGGGCTTTTTTTTTCTTTTTCAGTGCTGAGGCTTGAACTCAGGACCTACACCGTGAGCCACTCGGCCAGCCCTTTTATTGTGATGGGTTTTTCCGACTTAGGGTCTCATGAACTATTTGCCCAGGCTGGCTTCAAACCACTATCCTGATCTCTGCCTCCTGAGTCAGCTAGGATTGCAGGTGTGAGCCACCAGTGCCTGACTTGGGGCTCTTTTATCTTTTCAAGAGCTGGTTGATAAATATTTACTAGTTCACAGTGAATGCTTACTGCTTACAGAGTATGGTTAGGATGATGGGTACCAAGCGCCAGGCATAAGGGATACACAAGCACACACAAGCTTGGCACACAGCAGGAACTTAAGTGTGACTGCCTTTTCCTTTCTAAGGGAAAGATTGCTTCATTTGCTCAGAGTAACAGCTTCCTTCAGCTGGTGACATCTTCTCTCTTCTCTCAGACAATGTGATCCACTGGTAGCCATAATCTTCTCCTTGGCCCCCACAGAGGGGTGGAGCCAAAGGCTGAGGATTTTGGAGTCTTGTGAGTCCAAGTTTGAATCTTGGCTCTGCCTCCCCCTAGCTGTGGAATGACCTTGGGCGGGTTATTTAATCACTCTCAGGCTCAATTAAGTCACCTGTAAACTGGGGATGGATGTGCCTCCCTCATTAAGTTGTTGTGAAGATGAAATGAGGTCATGGGGGCGTGAGCACCTGGCACCAAGGTATAGTTTCAGTGAGAGCTTGACCGGTGCTGGCCTCTGTCCCCTGGAGGGTGCAGTGTGGCCTGGGGGCTCAGCCTTGGCCCTGGGCAGAGAGGACAGAATCTTGGTGGAACATGTAGGTCGGGAGCGTGGTGGACTGTGGGAGCCTCCAAATGCACTTCGAGTGCAGTAGAGGGGACTGTTCTGCAGCTCAGCTTCCAGGCCCTTACCTGCAGATCTGCAGATAAAGGCCTCTCTCAGCTCACCTCCTAGGATTCTGGGGTGCTGCGGCAGCCTAGGCCGCCCTGATTTACCACCCCAGCCCCAAGCAGATTAAATCACCCAGAGTCATTTGAATTTTACCCAGCCTTGTCACACAAATCTTAAAAACTGCTCTCTGGCAAGAAAACTTTCTCTGTACTTTTTGGAGAACGACTAAGAGCTCTAGAAATTGAGTTGAAATGGGAAAAAGGGGTGGTGGTGGCAGGAATGAAGCATCTTCAGGTCAGGGGAGAGAGAGAGAGAGGAGAGGAGAGGAGAGGAAAGGAGAGACTCTCAGGCAATGTCATCTCTGGCTGTGTGACATAGGGCAAAACACTGAATCTCTCTGAGTCTCACAGGATTGCGGTGAAGGTGGAAAGGGCTTGCTGGTATAAACTGTTTTGTAGATTTCGGTCAGTTCTGTGACTAATTGGGAAGATGGGGCAAATAACTATATAAGCAAATTCTTTTTTTTTTTTTCCTTTTATTATTCATATGTGCATACAAGGCTTGGGTCATTTCTCCCCCCTGCCCCCACCCCCTCCCTTACCACCCACTCCGCCCCCTCCCTCTCCCCCCCCACCCCCAGGAACAAGGGTTTTTGCTGGTTGAGATAAGGATAGCTATACAGGGCATTGACTCACATTGATTTCCTGTGCGTGGGTGTTACCTTCTAGGTTAATTCTTTTTGATCTCACCTTTTCTCTAGTTCCTGGTCCCCCTTTCCTATTGGCCTCAGTTGCTTTTAAGGTATCATAAGCAAATTCTTTATGGCTGTGGTTATCATGAGTTGAGCAGAGCAAGAGCTTTGGGATCTAAAAGAGAGGAGTGCATTGCCAGAGGTCTGGGGCTAATGGACCCCTAAGTCTGAGGGAAGTGTAGCTCAAGGGAGCTTGCAGTCCTCAACAGTGTGTGTGCTCTGGCTCCTGCTTGGTTTAGCCAAATCAAGACAATCCCTGCTTCCCCTGGTTGTTCCTAAACCAATCACAGGCACAGTGCCCTGGCCGTAGGGATTGGTTGGCCCAATCAGATAGACCCTCAGGAATTTATTGCATGGCTGAGGAAGCATATCTAATCTCTCTGTAACTGGATTTGAAAGAAGAAACATGTGGCTCTAATTTCTGGCAGTCACCTGGTGATGAGGACCACTGACCTGAGAATATAATCTATATGGGGAGGTGAGAGGAGCCTAGAAAGTCACAGAAAAATGGAGTCCCAGCCCTAGTCAATCTGTGCCTGAAAACCTGTCACATCTGGAGTATTTTGTAAGTGTACTATTAAATCTGCTTTATTAAATCTGTTTGGATTTTGTTTTTGTATTACTTGCAACATAAAAGCAGACACAGGGGGCTGATGGAGAAATCTGAGTGGGGAGGTGAGAGCTTGCTTGGGTAGCCATCAATGAGGAGAGCATCTAGGTTGGGGTAAAGGGTGGCAGGGAGCGTGTATTGGGGTGGGGATTGTAGGGGACTATGGAAATGATACCAGAAGGGAGTCAGGGTTGAATAATGAAAGGTGTCAGATCAGTTTTAAGAACTTGGACCAATTCTCCGGGCAATGAGGAGTAAGAGAAGATTTGTAAGCAGAGTTGGGGAGGGGAGAACGGTAAATGATGTGAACACAGTGGTATTTTAGGAAGATCAACTTAAGAGTGAGATATATACAGGTTGAGTGGGAAGGTGAAGTTGGGGGTTGAGATTTAAAAAATGATCGTTTATTGATAAGGTGCACAGTTCATTAGCTATCTAAGTGTATTATCTCACTTAGTCCTTAAAACAGCCTGTGCCTTCCCCAGTTTAAAGTGGGCTTCAAAGATCTTAAGTAACTTGACTAGATCAAATAATTAATAATCAGCAGGATCAGGATTTGAACTCAGGTCATCTGACTTTAGGCTCTGTACCTATTCATCATTTTTATGATAACACAGGTGACAAATTAATGTAGGCTAGAATGAGGTCATGACCACAGGGTGGACAGGATGGAACAAGAGACATCAGGCTGATGAAACCTGAGATATGTGCTCATCAAAGTTAGAAACCAGCGAGGGGAGCTATGCTGCATTGTGTCATGTTGTGGGTTTGCATGCATGTGAGCTGGGGACTGAAACCAGGGCCTCATACAAGCTAAGCACTGATGCCACTGAGCTATGGTGTATCCCAGCCCTATCTATATTTTTAAAGACAATTCCTGAAGTGCTAGAAATTGCAATTAGACAAGATTAAAATGGAGGAGAGTGGCAAATAATCACAGGTCAAAGGTGCGATGATCATTCATCTGGAAAACCAAGGTAATTTCCTGAAAAATGATTGGAAATTAGGGAGCTTGTGTAAAATGGCCAGTAAGAAAACAATACCTGCAGACTGGTATCCTTTCTATTCACAAAATGACTGTCTAGAAGGTAAAATAAAAGACCTCTTCCACAGAACGAAGAAGAAAGCAAAAACACAAAATATCTGGAAACAAACTTTACAAGAAATGTGCAGCATTTCATGAAGAAAAGCAGAACAGAAAAGAGGCTTGAGTAAATAAGATACATATCTAGTTCTTGGTTGGAAAGATTTAATATATAAGGTGCCAATTCTTACAGGAATGTGCAAAATTAAGATAATTCAATCAAGAGCCCAACAAAAATCTTTTTGAATTTGACAAAATAATTATAAAGCTAATATGGAAGGATAAAAAAAATGAGACTAGTCAGGAAAATTCCAAAAAAGAAAAATGATGAATATTTATCAGATATTATCATGTTTTGTAGGGGACAATAATTAAAATTCTTGTGTTAAGAATAGACACATTCTGTCATTGGGACAGAATGGAGAGTTCAGAAATGGATCCAAATATTTAAGGGATTTTTATATGATAAATGGCATTTCAATTGAGTTTGGAAATATGGACTATTTTATAAATCTCAGTTGAGCTGGGGTAATGGCCAGCCATTGATGCGCAAGCTGGTTTTCACCTTACTCCAATACCTGTCAAGCCATGATGACCTTGGAAATAAAAGTAGGGATGAATATTCTTGCTCACCTTAAAGTGGGGCAGGTCCTTTTAAGTCATGATATCCAGAAATCATAAAAAAAAATTCAACTATATGAGAAT